AATCCTCCAGGCTTATCCATTATCCTTGTGCATCTTCGCCTTCTCCTTCCGTCTTCCGTCCTTCCTGCTTCTTCATCATTCTTAACAAACAAGTAGGATATGTCAGTTGAGCCTTCTTGTTCGCATTGATGTGGACGCAAAACGTATTCAGGTTCTCAGACACCGTTTTAAAATGTTCTTGTCTTTTCTCTTGATAGTCTCTTTATTATTTATAAATGCTTATTATTCCTACTTTTTCTCTCATGTCCTTACTGTGTTATGACCTGCATCGATGTGGCTATTATTACGTAGAAGTTTAGTAAAGTTTCGTTTTGGTGTCTCCGTAGATCTTTGTGTTTACAGCTTTTCAGAACTGTTGAAATGTTTTGTTGTATATAAACGCCATTGTCCGTCTAACGGTCTGTACTGCAGTCTGAATGATCAAGATTCCCCGCTTGTTCGACTGTGTTGTCGTGTGAAACGTTTAACAAATTCATGTCTCTACAATAATATCAGGATCAGTGCGAAGAAATTAGTTTTGTGGTTATGCAATGCACCACAACAAATTTAAATTCGAGCATAGTGCTGTGGAAATATCTATTTGAAATATGCAAATAACAATATTATTCAGTTTATTGATAAGTATGTTTATGAGCTACATGTTTCGACCCAATTTGCCATCATCAGGTTCTTTACACAACGAATATTTAAGAGGTTTACAAGGGGTGTGCACGTGCACCCACGTTTTGATACAGAAATTGCGGGCGTTGTGAGCTGTGATGGTCACCCCTGAATAAAAGGACTGTGACGTTGACTCGAAATTTGTCATGAACACAAAATGACTGCAAACGCAAGTTTCAAACAGAAGGGTGGAGCGGTTCTAGCCGAATGGCGTGTGAATAATACCCACACGAGGCCAGCCAGCAGTCCGCTGAAAACAAAAAGGTGGCTACACAGAATTGGATGGTTTTGACTGACTTCGTCTGTGTCGGTTCCACTTCGTGTAAGATCTCCAATCTACAGAATTTTGAATATAAATATTTCGTCGGAGAATTATATTGAAACTGATCTTAAAGCCATGCGTTGTTGTCATGTAAACAGGACTGGCATAGATGTTTAACGGTGTACTTAATCGCCATATCTGAAGAAGTTTTATGGTAGTTATTTGACTTTGTTTGGGTTAGAAGCGATTTAACTATCACTCGTTTAAAACTTAGTGTTCAGTACTTGTATTTGTGCGATGCAGCTGCTGTTTGAAAGAGGCCTCGGTTTTTGGAGTGGGGGAGTTGGAGAGGCTTTTGAGTGTTTGTGGTATCTTTAAGAGGTCTATATAGACACTAAATAGTCCTTACTTAAACTTGGCTTGCTTCTCCTTGAATAATAATTATGTTTTCCTAATTGCGGCGAAGTTGTTAAGTGCAAAACACCTTCTCGCTCTGCCTCATCCTGCAGCAGCCAAGGAGTTCTGCAGCTTTAGCCCGCTTCATTTGGCACATGAATTATTCAAAGGTGTTCGCGTGTTCTTGTGCTTGTGTGTGACGTACGACTATGCAGATGAGACCCTGATGCCGCCCGCCCTCTTCCACTGCAGAATCACTGTCGTATCAACTCAACTCTGGGATCAGATCTCGAAACAAAGTTAGTAAGCGCGGGTGTATATATTGTCTCGGCGCCAGACTGCAGGACAAGTTTACTGTAAACAATCTTTCGAAAATGAGACAAAATTAAAATATTTGGGAACTACAGAGAAAAATTTGCATTTACGAGAAATTATTAGTTGATTAAATTTGGGATCGCTTGCTGTCCTACAATTCAGAACATGTTTCCCCTTTTGATACCTAAAAACGTAAAGTTTAAAAGGTACAGAACATTCTTTTTATCTGTTATATATTGACTATGTTTGAGAACAGGGTTTTAAGGAGAAATGTTGGACCTAAGAGGCATGCAGTTACAGGAATTAGAGATAGTTATACAGTGAGGAGCTTCGTAATTTTGACTTTTTACCAAATATTGTTAGGAGGAGGTAGATGGGACCATCATCTCAATTTCGTGTTTGACGATGTTGAGACATGTAAGTGGTTAGTTAATCCATCTCATCACATGGTCTCTTGAACAGTAAGTGGTTAGTTAATCCATCTCATCATATATGGTCTCTTGAACCTTTTTATAGTAAATTTGCAGTTCCGATGAAAATAATCAGTAGGCCGATTTAGAAGCCCTACTGTAAACCTGGTACTCTCCAGAGTACGACAGCCTGGAAAATACCTCGATTTATTCCTCCCCCCTTTTAATGTGGATGTAGCTTAGATTTGTATATTGGCCATTTGCATTAACGTATTTATTCATTGATAGTCGGGCCTACAAGCATGACCAATGACCTATTGGCGCACTTGTTGAAAAGTTTGGTGACCTCAGGGTCTTGTGTTAGAGCAATGAGCTGGCTGTTCCCAGGTCTCGGGTTCAAGACCAATCAGATTCAGTGCGGATATTATGCACACCTTTCCGTTCCTTCACTGACACAGTCGAGACAGTGCGTGTTAATATTCCAAAGGGTCATGATATTTGAACAGGTGATGATGTTAACGATTCATTATAAATTCTGCAGTGAGCTAAAGAGACTTGAGAATAAGACGAGATATGCAAGAATATAGCGAGGTTTGTTTAAAGATTCTGACAGTATTCACCAGACTGTTCAACTGCATCCGAGCGAGAAGCGAACAATTTAATATTGCAGATGCTGTTCAAGTGGAACATCGGGGATCGGCCACCCATCCCTTGTTTGTTCGTCGTATTGGCACTGGGACAGCGGGACAATGTCTGGTCTATGTTTAGAAACTGTCTGCGATGCAGAGGGCATTGCCCCCACTGCGTGGAGAATCGAAGTCTGCATCTGCAGAATCCGACGGATGAATTTTACCAACATTGCGGATTTTATTTATTGATTTGTGGGTAATAAGGTAACGCAAGTTTGACAACCTGTGGAGACAGAAACAAAACGGAATAAATAATCAAAATGAAACAGATACAAACGAAGATGGTTGTCTTCTGGTTTGTTGCGCCGTGCAGTCTGGTAGAAGTTTGCCGAAGTTTCAGAGGTCGTTCCTGCTTCTGCCATCAGGGCCATCGCAAGAAGACAGGCATCTTCAAACTCAGCGCCGTGAAAACCTCAAATCCTACAGATACAAAGGAGTGAATAAAAATAGGTGATTGAAGAAGCAGTGAAGGATAGAAAAATGTGGGAGGAGAAGAAATTAGAGAAAATTACAATTAAGTGCGCCTACGTAGAAATATAAATAGTACGTGTGATCGTTAAGGACAGGAAATTGGACCCCTGCATCCCATTTATTGTCTGCTTTCCTACTGATGCGATTTGAGCGCCACTGGCAACTGCACGCAACTACAAACTACGTGAGTCATATTTACTGAGTTTTCTTATATGACCGAACTACTGTGTGCATTTCGTATTTCGTTCATAAGTTAGTGCGCGTAATGTAATTGTTGTAATATTGCGCAATTTTGAAGTTTCGGTTTAGCGGTGTGTACCTTACTTTGTTCTGTTTGATTGTAGTGCACTAACCTGGTGATCTTTACATTCCATCCGACGATAAGTGGTGTTTTGCGTATTTGTTACTTCAGTTTTTTTTAACCTAACTTAGCAACTACAGAGATTATGCGCCGAAGAATGTTGGTTGACAGAGAAGAACAAACAAAACTTCAGGATGCCAATCGAATCGTTGTCGTTTTGCGTAAAACTTCTGTACGAGTAATATAGGCTCTGCCGTCTTTAAATGATGTACGAATCAGTAGACAGTAGTTCCCAGTGTGTACAGTCCATTGTTTCTTTGCTGTGGAATCTGTTTTTGCCATATGTTTCTGAGTTCCAGCGTTTTCTTACTGTGTTTTTTATGTCTGTGTCATGTGTTCTAAGGACGTGTAGTTTATTTTGTTTTGAAATAATCTTCCTTTGTTATACGATTCTGATCATGCGTATTTTATAGTCTGGCTGCTCCGGAATCGTTGATGTCTCTTTCACAACAAAGCATTTAAAAATTGTTTCCATGCAATTTACGATCGGTTGCAATAGAGATCGCATTAGCAATTTCAGACGTTCCCTCGTAGCAGCCGGATCGTTACCGCGGATGAGATGGGTTGTGAAGCGACGTCATGCAAATTGAAGTCCCCCCACGAGCAGTCAGAATGTCATTTTGCAGCATCTCATATACCCAGATGTTTGCCATCTCGTGAGGAAACTTTCTGTTACATCTCTCAGTGTTTTGTTAGACGGTTTTCATAACACCGCGTATTATCTTAGCAGTACCTGTATCTCCATCTATATTTATACAATAAATTCTTTATGCAATGCACCAGTTATGATTAACTTTTATACTGAGAATTGTTACTAACATGCAATCAGTAAAGCGAATTTTAATCCGAATTATACTATAAAAGGAGATATTTATGAGCGGAACATCAGATTATTGTTAATTTGTGTTGGACCGAGTGCCTTACAGAGCTCTTGCTTACTTATTATTTAACTTTCTGACAGCATAACCAGAAGGTGCAACGCCTCAGAAAATGAAAGACGCCACTGAACACGATCCTCAGCGACTGCCTTCCACTTACTATCCACAAAATCGAAGACTTATTTAATTTTGACTTTTCATTTACTCGGTCTCAAAAGTTGCCGCTGTCCAAGAGACTTTCTAACAAATATTCTTTGCATATATTTTTCTTCCCATCTGAGCTGTATGCTTAGCTAGTCGTACGAACCTGTATTTTATTGGTCTAACAGTAGAAACAAATAGTCACGAAGTACCTCGTTAAATAGCATCCTCGTACACTTTATTTTGGATTCAAGAATTTTCCTGAAAAGTTTCAAAGAACTTGAAGTGCATGTCGGCTTATTGTTTCCCCCAGATTAATAGATCGCGTTTTAACAGCTGGCAAAATTGTTGCATTATATGATGTCTTGGCTTGTTTGTATGGTATTTTAAATAACTGTGTTTCTTTCTGTGTTGCAGGTATGGACTGCTTAGGTGGTCTAAGTGTGGGTGAACCACGCTTCTGTATCCAGAATTCAATTTGTAAGTAAACCAAGATCGTAAGTGGTCTTCTGAGATGTTGTGTAGTCTTCTAGATTAGATACTGGCCAGAAGACTGTAATCGTTACACTCGTCGCCTTGAGAACCTGAAATCTCACTCAGAGTTTCTGTTTCTGAATGATTTGATTGTCTTGATCCTCACGTTCATACAACCGACTGTGATTTTCTTGTTATTTATAAATGTATTTATTTACGTATTTTCTTGAGCAGTTCACTTGCAGCATTAGTATCGCCAAACTCCTGAAAATATGTCTTAAACTTCACGTATTCAGTTGAAATTATGTCTAAACGGTTAAAGTCGAATGAACAGAATCTGGATAAATAATTGGTTCTAATTCCTGCAGCTTTCATAGCGTAGAACTTGCATATGCAAAACCTGCCGTAAGAAAGCATATATCTTCGTTAGCAGGCGCTGTCATTTAATTGACTTCAGTAAATAAATTAGTTAAAGTCAGAGGTACTATACTGATGACGTTCATTTGTCGAGCGGATGGAGAAATTCAATTTTAACATTTTGTGCTCGTGTAAGGAAAAAAAAACTCATGAGTAGGATCCGAGGTTCTCACGGCGTCGAATATTAAGATGGCTGTCTTCTGGGTTGTAGCGCCGTATAGTCTGGTGGAAGTTTACCGGCAGTTCATCGCCCTGACGATGGAGGCAGTAAGCACTTCTCATACGGCGCTACAACCCAGAAGACAAGCCATCTTCATCCTACCACGAGCCTGGGATGAGTTTTGGAAGTTACATTTCCTTCACTTCGTGTTTAATGTTCACACAGCCTCCTCGTTTGGAACGGTCCTGGCGTATGTTATGTAAGTAAATTTGTGTACAATTCTTACCGCGTGAGTCGCGTAGTCTCTGTAAAAGTTGCGTTTGACTTCGGGTTGAGGATTATGAATCAGCTGTTACTTGGGGCACCTGACTCGAGGGGGAGGAATGCACTTTGCCGTCGTGACAATATTAATAAACTTGGACGAGAGAGAGACTGCCTATCATGACGGCTTCAAGATGTGGAATATGGTCGGAACATGAAGCGAGAGGGAGGGCAGAGTCAAGGTTACGACCAATTCGGGAAGTTGTAAAACCAAGGGTTTTAGAGGGCAGTGAAGTTCTTCGCTGTGATGGGTGCTTATGGGAAACTCACTGTAGCTTTTCCATCGTATGTCTAAACTAAAAACACCGACTCTTTTGTGTGTCGTTCTGTGTCGCAGTTTTCTGTAATTGAATACTCTTTGATGAATATAGTTGGCTCTACCATAAATTCTCGGAATCTTACAATAAGCACAGTTTCTATACTATTACTCAGCCCTGCTATTTGGGCCTGGCGTAAATAAAATATTTCTGCATTGTAATACGATACAATTTTCGAAGCGTGTCATAATTTAAAAGTACACTCTGTCTGTCCGATAAAAATTAATTTTATCATGCGCTTGTAAGCAACCTTACGAAAATAAAGTCCTGTATGTTAATATGTTAAACGACGTCTAGTGTTTGGCGTTCCTGGTCACTAGTGTTTTTGCATTTCGTATAAACTTTCACAAAAACAGGGAATTCTACGTTATAACCAATAACGTTAGAAACTGCCTTTGTAGAAAGAACGAACGGAAAAGAGTATCTGTTCTAAACAGTCACGATTGAAGGAAGCAAACGACCCCAATAAAATGGAAGCGATTGTAGAAGAAGAAGGTATGGACGTTTTAACTTGAAAGATTATTCCACGGATGGCGTAGATCGATATAAGGAAGTGTTTGAGATAGAGGTCAGGGTGTTTCATTTGGGGTGACGTAGTTTAAGATTATCGATACTAAGCGAATTTCAGGATCGATGCTGATGACGTGAAAAGCAGTTAGACTGTTGCTTTGCTGCTGGACTTCGGGGTGTCTGAAGTGTTACTAATTATTTAGAGGTAGGTGGCGGCATAGATCGAACAAAAGTTCCGGTTTAACTTTGAATTTTTTGTTAGGTTGAAAGAAATTATAGATTTTTAGTATAGATTTATCGAAAACAAAAAAGAGAAAGTCAATGCAGGCCTATAGTCGTCTTGCGATAGGTCTACTACATGCCAACATTACGTTATATGATGTGATATAATGTTCCAGGATGTGGTTCATGTAGTGAGTGCATATGTTTCTGTGATTTTCGATCTTACAAAGTCGACAGTGTGGCTCTAATTACAAGGGTATAGGAGCAGTCAGAGAAACTGAAATTGCATAGAATTAGTAAAAGAAAACCTCCTTTCTCTTCATGGTAAAAGTGACGGAGGCAGTTCATTTTCCAGAAATATTGGTAATAACCTGGATGCACAAATGGTATCAGAACCTAAAATAAGTCAGTATGACTTCTCGTCGCTTTGAGATTCTCGAGTCCACATTTCTTAAGATCCATTTTAATATTATCACGTGCACCTAAGTCTCATACAAGGTTTTTTTAAATATATGAAATAGATGCATTTATTTGTCATAAGTTTTACAGCTCTGTGGTACTTCCCCTGTGTCCTGGACGGCAGTCTGAAACTCTCTGAATCCCTTTCAGTTCTGGAGTTGGAGGAAAACTTTGCCTTTCTCATCCACAGACAGTCTTTTATATTTCTTGTGTTTAGAAGTCTTCCTCACTTATTTTTTATTTATATACTGTTTCTCTCTCCTTTATTACTATTTTCCTTAAGAACTGTCTGGCTTCACAGCCGACTTGCTGCTTATTTATTCTTCATGAGAAAGTTGGATCAAGAAGAGCATTGTTCTTGTTGGGGGGAAGGGTGTGAGGCGCGGTGCGAGGACCCAACTTTTGTCAAACATTTTACAAGCTTCGCTTTTACTTCGTCTCTCGGTGTTTTGGTGTTACGTCTATTTTACTTTATGTTTTACATAATTTGAATTCATTTTAGCTGATTTTTCGTTCTCTTTACAAAATGCATAAAATGAACGTATAATGGAGAATTGTGTTTGTTGCTTGTCACCGCAACTGCTGAACGGAATTTTGTTAAATTTGGCGTGGAGCGTCTAGACTGTAATTTGTTTTCAGATTGTAATTCTGCCTATTGGTACAATGTAACTGCTACTATATACGAACCTGAATTTTAATTCTATAATTGTACTTAAAAGTGGTTCTCATCTTAAAAAGAAAGCCACGTGGCTTGGCCAAGCACTACAACTCTTGATTTAAGTGTTTTTCTATGTGATGTAAATTTAACGAAATACACAGGGATTTTTTTATAATTTGGTAAACATGTGGTTAGTATGATGATAACATTAATAATGTACGTGTATCGAGAAAAAGGCCTACGTCGCATTAAGCTCACACCAACAATTCACTAGGCCACAAATCATTTTGTTTGTGAACGAGAAACATTTGCCTACTCATCAAATCCACAACCTCACTGGATGTTTTCCATGTGTTTTTTAAACGAAATGCATTAGAAAGTAGTTTATTCCTCTAAAAATGATTAGATATGTTAACAGAATTCTTTGCAACTTTGTGTAACATCGCCACAGCCCAGTGTATCTCACTCAGTAGTGACCGACTAGGAACTGGACAGGCGGGGAGCAGTCTCCGGTAAGAGCAGAGAATTTGGCTTGTAGCCGATGGTCACTGTCGGTCGTTTCCCCCGGGGGTAAAGCGTGAAGCTGAACACCCTCCACCTCCAGTGGAGAGGTCGGGAATCGGTGGGATCTGTACCACCTCTCCCCTCAAGCGTCTCCATTGCGCGTAGCTAGACTTCTTTGCCTTAATTACATCTGTTGTCTTCTTTCCTCGAAGGGCCTTGCCCTCTTAATCTGTTTGTACACATTTGGCGGTCACGTCATGAATACATAATTTGGCGACAAATCACAAAAAAGCTATATCGTGTTCCTCGTGTGTCGTATAGATGTTCGGAGGATGCACAGCTTGAAACTGCATTGTTGTCATGCGGGTTGTAGACTCCGTTGCGTGCCTTCTGGAGTAACGACGCTCGTGCAGACTGCCAGGCCATCAATTCAGCCGTCGCCACTCGCCTGACTTCTCCGTGTTGCGTGTGTCCCGAACAAATCTTTGCAGGCGTTGTCTTCTACAATGTGTTCTTAACCGTTTTATGACCCGCGACCCATTTCAAGATGACGACAAACTGATGTGATTAACTGATTTCTAACTTATTTGTATATGTTGTATCGACCCCAGAGTGTTTCTGTGTCGAACGAGGCGCCGTGTAGACTCGTAGGCATTGTCAGTGTTTTCGGAGGTACTAGCCGCCTCCATCATTAGGGTGATGGAGGAAGAATACAACCTTTTCATACTCCTACAAGATTTAATTCATTTTCTGTTTCTCACACCTCTTTCAGAGGAGCCTCTAGTAACAAATTTTATTCGGATCGATTGAGTAATTTAGGACATGACACGCAACTGTGACCTCTCCATTATGCTTTAATTTTTATGCACCGTACAAGGGACACTGATTACGAATAAAGGTGTTGGTGTGATCCATGCGTGGAATTCTAAGCCGTTCGTCCATAAAACAGGAAAATACCAGAGTTCTTTGAAAAGATTTAACTATTGAGATATTTGTAACGATACATTTTCTTTGTGACAGCTGAATAGGCCTAAATATAAGCTATGATGGCTTTAAGCGTACTGTTATTTTTATGGGCCTGGCTGTACGCCGTTGTCTTGTTGTTTTCATTTCTCCCACACTGGCCATTGTCTTCGTGATGACCGTCATTTGTTTCCTGCGAGCACGTGGCTCCATGTTCTCTTTTTCTGCTAGGCTTATTGTTTCCCCTGTTGTAGAGATGACAGCCGATTGATTCACAGGCTAGAATCAACAACAAAAGTAGACGAAAAATCAACTATTCAACCTATTTAAATTTGTTGGATTAGATCAACAGCTCGTGTGTCGTCTGTGCTGTGGGATGTGGTCAGTTGAATTTGTATTTGCCCGAATAAGTTAATGTTTCGTCGAAAATAACACGGACTCCAATTCTCAAAGTTCATATTGAAGAAAAAAATTT